AGGCGCGGCGGCCACGTCAGCCAGGAGCGGCTCCATGCTCCATGCCGGGCGCGGCCTATGGGGCAGCTCCAGCGAGGCGGAAGCGGCCCTGACAACAAACCGCTGCGACGAGAGGAGCCGCTTCTCAGAGCGCCCGGGCCCCACAGCGCCCCCTGCCGGGAAACCTCCGCCCCTCCCGGCCAGCATCCGCCCAAGGGGCAGATGGGGGAGGAAGGGGCACGGAAGTGCGTCCCCCCGGAACCGGAAGTAGATCGCGCAGGGGCGGAAGCGGGACTATGGCGGCCGGATTCAAGTAAGAGACTGAGCGAACAAGCTCTTTGGCCTTCGCCTTCAGTCACCTCAGCGGGAGCTGCGGCTTCGCCCAGGCTGCTGCCGAGTCCTTAGGCCCGGCGGTCGCAGCGGCGTCGGGCGGTGCCCGGGTGCGGAGGGTTTACCCTTCATGTGGAGCCCCCTGGCTGTGGCTACTCGCCGCACGCCGGGCCCCGAGCTCTGCCAGGCCCGAGCTTGGGAACCGATTCCTGGCGGCTGTGAGGGGCCGCTCCCCCCGCCCTGTCTGCAGCGCCTGCTCTCAACAGCCCGCCTTGGGAATGGGGGCGGGGACGAAATACACCGCCCCTTCCCCCCCAACTCTCACTTTTCCCTGGCAGAGCATGTCCACCCACCGCTTGTCATTCGTGGTCTTGGCAATCGAGGGCCTGTCTCCTGCAAGCACGTGGCACGTGCACTTTTTTTTGCCTGTGACTAATTCTAGTGAGTTCACTGGGGCTCCCCATACTTATAGCACGATGCTTGTGCAGAATTATTTGTAGGATTGTAATTGAGGCCCTTACTCGCTATGGTAAAATCAACATTCGGTTTTCCCCTCCTCTTAAACTGACTTAATTCTTCGATTTTGTATATTTCATTCTATCTGAATTTATCTAGATTTCAAAACTAAAGACTTAATAGCTGTAACTGCTGTTGAATTAAGGGTTTGGGTCAGTAATAGGACTGTGCCCTTTAGCAGCCAGACAGTGTTAAGGGAGAGACCAACTTTCTACCTCACTACACCCTCTCTCCAAATTATTCACTTTCAATGTAACATTGCAGTTTGCTACAGAAAAGTTCTTTCAATTTCAATGAATTACAGAAATACATTATTCTTCCCACATCCCTAAACCTTACAGCAGTTATGGTTCTGAGTTACATTGCATCATATGTTTTGCCAAAAAAGTGAGTTGTCATAGCCAGCTAAGGCATTTTGAAATGTGGGTCTTTGTCTATGTTAGAGGAAAAGTCTTGGTAGAAATCATAGCAACTGTAATCTGTTCCTAATCAATATGAAGACCAAATGTTAGAGTTGCTGGAGTGGAGGAATCCATCTGAGGACAGTTAGAAGAAAATGGGAGTTAAGTGTAAGAACTGATTGAACAAGGAGTCCCAGGTGTTTGGGAAAGAAAGATTTCTGCATTGATCCAACTCTCTTTGCTTCTCTCCTGTGTGTCTCAATCTTTAAATGGGGCACAGCTTCACTGTACAGGCAGTCCCTGGGTTACGTACAAGATAGGGACTGTAGGTTTGTTCTTAAGTTGAATTTGTATGTAAGTCGGAACTGGTACATATTGTAGGGGAAACTCTAGCCAAACATTTCTCCAGAGCTCAGTTTTATTCTCCCACACCTCACTTCCCTCAGTCCTTTATTCTCAAGCTGAGGTAAGTGAGGTGTGGGAGAATAAAACTGAGCTCTGGAGAAATGTTTGGCTAGAGTTTCCCCTACAATATGTACCAGTTCCGACTTACATACAAATTCAACTTAAGAACAAACCTACAGTCCCTATCTTGTATGTAACCCGGGGACTGCCTGTATTGCCTGAGCCAGTGAGGTCTAGCCCTTGGCTGTGTCTACACTGGGCCACTTATTCCGGAAAATCAGCCGCTTTTCCGGAATAAGCTGCGAGCTGTCTACACTGGCCCTTGAATTTCCAGAAAAGCAACGATGCTCTACTGTACAAAATCAGCCGCTATTCCGGAAAAACTATTCTGCTCCCGCTCGGGCATAAGTCCTTATTCCGGAACACTGTTCCGGAAAAGGGACAGTGTAGACAGCCCAGTAGTCTTTTCTGGAAAAAAGCCCCGATCGCGAAAATGGCGATCGGGGCTCTTTTCCGGAAAAGCGCGTCTACGTTGGCCACAGATGCTTTTCCGGAAAAAGGGCTTTTCTGGAAAAGCAACCTGCCAATGTAGATGCTCCTTTTCCGGAAAAACTGAAAACGGAATAGTATTCCGTTTTAAGCATTTCCGGAAATTCATGCCAATGTAGACACAGCCCTTATGTCTATGCTAACTGGGGATAGCTCAAGGAATTACCTTACCCTTCTGCTTGTAAATTGTCATACATATGTCCGATTTATGTTGGCTTAGAAAATGTAATAAAAGTTCTGAGTTACCTTTTCCATAATTTGTCTTCAAAAACATTAGTTTGAACAAAACTTGAGGGCCTTGTGTCAAAGATTAACTGTGCTGCAAACAGTGTTGTATCAGTTTCTAGTTGTGGAACATTTGTGTCTTCTCAGTTTTTCTGTTCTCTGTTTTAGCCCTTGTCTCCACTACCAGGTGGATCCATGCTGCAGCAATAAATCAACCAGTGGTTGATTTAGTGGGTCTAGTGAAGGCCTGCTAAATCAACTGCCATATGTGTTCCCAGTGAGTCTGGTACTCCACTAGAACAAGATGCATAAAATAAATCAATGGGAGAGTTTATCCCATCAAACCAGAATAGTGTAGAAACTGCAAGTAGTCGACCTAAAGTATGTCAACTTCAGCTATGTTATTCACATAGCTGGAATTGTGCAACTTAGGTCAACTTTATTGTGATTTGAAAAATTGTGTCATTTTAGGGAGTGTGCAGAAAACAATCTGAAACATTACATTCTATGTTAAAAATAATGTTGAATTACTAAATTGGTGTATTTAGTAACTTCTGTGAAGAGAAGCATTATGTATTGGTGCTCCAAAGATAGATATAGGATAAGTATAAAATTAAAGAATTAGAGTAAGCTTAAGGCTATGACTAGACTACGTAGAATTTTCGAAAGAGGATATGCAAATTCCGAGCTCACTTTTGAAAGAGGAAAAAAGGGGAAAAACCCTTTTTCGAAAAATAACTCTTCCTTAAAAAAGGTTTATGGATTTTTTGCATATCCTCTTTAGAGAAAAAAAAAACGTAGTTTACCATGTGCCCATTGTTGGGGTAAGGAAAGATTGTAAAGAAAGGCCCTGACTAGCAAGTTGAAGGAAGGCCTTGAACATAATAAGTGATAAGGCCAGAAGGAATAAAGTAGGGAGGATGTCTGGTTATTCTGGAGAAGTTTCTACAAAAGGCTCTGACCAATCAGGGTGATGGCAGATGGTTTTAAATAAAAGACAATTGGTCTTAAAATGAGTCAACCCGTACACTAGTGTAGAAGCCCACGTGAACCTAGGTACAGTGGGGAAAACTGCTGGACAGCAAAGAGGGGAAGAAAGTCCTTGGGAAGACAGGAGGTTTGTAAATCTTACTTGAATTAAGATGGGTAATAAGAGTGAACTGTCTCAGATTGTTTTTCAGTTGTATTTAGTAATTGGCAATGAAATAACTTTTTTTTTAAAAATTAACATTTAGAAGGTTTTTTGGTAATGTCTGTCTGACTACGTTGCAGTTGATCAATAAGAGTCTAAGCATCATTGGGCTTAGTCCATTTGTAAGTATACTGATTGTATGTTTATAAAATGTTTTGTTACTGTTTGGCTATAGTAAATGACTTAGTATTTAGACTTTTTAGACATGCTTAGGGCAACTATATACACTTTTGGATTTAATTAAAGAATTTATGGTTAAGTTGGGTTTTGATTTCCCATATTAACAATTTCAGCTATTGATAATTGTAACAGTAATGTGACACTTGGTTTTCTGGTTGACTTTACTTAGCCTTTTTCTTTGTAAAACAAATTATGCATATTAATTTTAATGTTTGTGTCTATTTTAGAACTGTGGAACCTTTGGAATATTACAGGCGATTTTTGGTGAGTAAAACATTATACATAAGTTACATAGACTTAAAATACATATTTTCTTGTACAGCCACTCTTGTAAAGTGCTTCTGCTGCTTCTTTCTTTAAATTATACATAAACTGCAATGGGGTTTTGATTTTCCTGAAAGCCTTTCATAGAAGAAAATCTTTCAGACTCTTCATGACATGTTCTTTTTATTCTATGGCTGTAATCCTGTGAGCGCTTAGGTATTTGCTCACCTTTGCACATATGACTAGTTTCATTGGCCTCGAAGGGACTGCTAGGTGCATAAACTTAGACAGGTGCTTAAGTGAATACAGGATTGTGGTCTTGGGATTTGTAAAGTGCCCTGCACAATAGGAGCCCAATCAGTATGGTAGATTTTAGGTAATACCAAACTAATATCACTGACAGCATCTTTGAAAAAGGAAAATTCCAAGATGACGTTATACAGCCCACATTGAGCTCCCCTTGCACAGAGGCTCCAGGCTTAGGCTCCCTGTGGTCAGGGGCTCAATTTCTTATGGTGCCACAAAATTCACAGATTGCCACTTATATAACAATTTACTGGTTGCTTTGTCACTGTACAACTGCAATGAAGTATTGTTTTTGTTGGTGAGTGTCCTAAATGTACAAAAGGCATACTGTATAGTATATAGCCTTGAGGTGATTTTTTTCCTTCTGGACTATAAAATTTTTGAAGTAATATAAGTTTTGGGTCTAAAACCCAGATCAGATTGAATTAGACCAAAAAAGCTCACTAGCACACAAATCTTTGAATTTATCTTAGTGATCCTGTCGTTGCAAATCCCTGTTTGAAAATAAATAAAAACATTATTTTTATATATTCTTGATTGTGTAACACCATCAAAATATAATTTAACTTAACTTGTTTAATGTTTATATATAGAAAGAGAACTGCCGACCTGATGGAAGGGAGCTAGGTGAATTCAGAACCACCACTGTCAATATAGGTAAGTGTTTAATATTAGGAAGTGATAGTGACTGAATCAAATGGAGTATGCTTGGAGTCTTTAATGAATGGCTGTTCTGTTCCCACAGAGCTTGAGTTCAGAACTAGTCAGGGGGAGATTCTATGTTGCACTTGGAAGAAGGATAGTTTTAAGCCATCTCTGCACCCTCTTACTCCTAGGTTACCCAGTGAAAACACTCCCTTCTGCAAAGCATAATTTAAACAGCCACAGGCAGCTAAGTTATAATAGCTTCCTTACCTGCTGTGGGCATTACCCTGAATCTCTGTGGTTCCATTCTGAATGTATGTCTCCTGCCTTCAGCATTGCTTTTTGGACACCACTATATCAAGACTTGCATGGGGAATGCAAGAAGGTGCGTTATGGCTTTCACAGTTCCTATGCTGGGGAATTCTTCCTGACCGGATCGGGGCAGTTAGAGCCTTTCTGTGCCGCTTTGGCCATTTTAGATGGAAAAAACATAATTTTCAATCTAATACAGTTTTGCCAATTCCTATTCTAGAAAAAATGAATCCTTCAGCACTTGCTAATTAAAAACACAATTAAATACAATTGTGTATGTAATTATTCAGAATTAAGGTAGCTAAGAAACAAACAAAAACCAACCAACCGTTGCTGTTTGAAGGGTTATCTGAAGTTTTGCTGGGTAGGTGGATAGGGCATTCCAACATTATGGATTTTTAAACCAGTTTTATCTCATCTCATTTTTTAAATAATTAACAATTGAGAAGTCTAAAGACTGAGATTTTGTTAAACACTCTCTTTTCAGGTTCAATTACTACTGCAGATGGTTCTGCCTTGGTGAAGCTGGGAAATACTACTGTAATTTGTGGCATTAAAGCGGTATGTGTACTTTTTTGAGACTGAGAAATAATAGTTAATAGAGTATAGCTCTCTATTCATTAAGTTGAAATTGATGTGCCTGTCATATATAAACACATTTTTTTACAGGCTTTATTTTCAGAAGTGAAGATTATACAAGTTGGACCTCCCTCGTCTGGTACCCTTGGAACCTGACCGATCCCAAACGAGGGGATTTGCCAGACCAGGGGAGGTCTCTCACCTCCTGGCCTGTGTTAAACTGCCCCCTCTCCCCTTCCCCACTGCTTCCTAGTCAGCTGTCGCTCCCTGGGATGGACCTCTCCAGCAAGGTTCCCTATAAGCTGCATGCTTGCATGGGCACACAGAAAATTTTTTTCACCCCGCCCACTTCCTATCCAGAGCCACATAGCTGTGTGGCTGGTGACAGGTGGCTGCTCTGGTGGCTGGAGCCAGAAGAACCTCATGGTGGGTGGCAGAAGACTGCTCTAGCACCCGGGACTGGGGAAGCTGCGTGGCGGGCAGCAGGAGACTGCTTTGGCAGCTGGGGCTGGAGCTGCCTTATGGGAACCCTGGCAGTGCGAGTACCAGCGGGGGAGACAGTGGGGCCAAGGATAGCGAGGCCCTGGCACAGAAGCCGGCTGGATGGGGGCAAAGGCACCAGCCATCTGTGGTAGGGGGAGGTACCGGGCGCAGGTAAATCCTGGGGTATGGGGAGAGGGCGAGGTGCAGGGTTGGACACAGGTCTCTGGGTGATGGGTGGGGAGAACAGGCAAGTTTGGGGCCAGGCACAAGTCTCTGGGTGATGGAGGACAGGGGGAAACAGATGAGAAGTGGGTCTGGGCACAGGTCTCTGGGCAGTGGTGCTTGGGCTGTGGCCATAGTCCCAGGTACTGTCTCTTTGTGTTTGGAGTGCAGATAGCATGGCCCTGGCATATATACTGGTAGCATATGGGGGAGCAGATTGCAAGGCCAGGCACAACTATAGAGTGTGTGGGGGGTAGGCAGTTAGCCAGGCCTATACAGGTACGAGCTGGCTGTGTGTGGTCCTGATGGGAGCATAGGCATTGGGGCATGCAGTGTGTGTTGGGGGCAGAGCCAGCAAGCTGGGTGGTTTTCAGGGGGGTGGGTGCCAGAGTCATGCACTTTGTAAATTATCCATTTTTAGTATTTTTTCTTGAATAATGATTTATAAATATATATAATTTTGTTAGTAACTGGTAGATGCCACAGTGACACACATCTGAACAAGTGCACATGATGTCAATATTGGTGCACAAGACAAAACTCACTCCGCTCACAGATGGGAAATCTGAGAGGGAACACTGCTCTCCAGCTCCCAGTGGCCCTGCTGCTGCAAGGGCCAGAGCTGTGTGGTCTGTGCCTGAGCTCCCTGGCTGCTGCTGGGGCTGGAGTTTCATGACTGGGGCCATAGCTCCACGGCTGGGCTGGAGTTTCCTGGCTTCTGCCATGGCCAGAACTCCATAGCCAGTGTCGGAGTTCTGCAGCCAGGGCTGGAGTTCCCCGATGCGGCGCTTGCCTCCCCACCCAAACACGGGGCTCCAGGCTGAGTCGCTGCCCCCCACCCCGCTAAGCTCCTACCCCATGGCCAGATCTCCCTTTACCTGGACTCTGGTCCTGCTCAACCACGGATGTTATCAGACCAGAGAGTCCCGGATAAGGGAGGTACAAACTGTAGTAGAATTGAACAAATGAATTAGGGTAGAGTTGGGAGTGAGTGTGTGCGCGCGCACATTGTTACATGTGTAAAGAGTCCTTTGTCTCTTCTTAAAGAGAACAAAGATCTTATTTTTGTGTACTAATTTAGTTTTTGTGATGATTAGTGAGCATTAATAATGAAACAACTCTTTCAAGGGAGATATTAATAAATGTGTCTGTCGTAAATCTAATTGCAATAATCACATCAAGTAATTCATTGAAGTAAAGAGATGATCATAAGATGAGTATCTGGAAAATCTAGCATGGTTTGTAAAAGCATTTTGGCCAGACAAATCCTAGAGAAATAGGATTTGTAACATTTCAAAAAGTTTTTTCAAACCAGTTTGTAGATACAACCCCTCCCCCCCTTTTTTTTCTTACAGGAATTTGCAGAACCCCCAGCAGAGTCATCTAATAAGGGATATATTGGTAAGTTTTCGAGTTTTTTCAGTGAAATTATTTGTGTCATTGGGAAGAATTGGGTGCAGTAAAAATTGAAAACAAATACAATAAATCACATTAAAATTGCATTACAGTGCACAGAAACAGCGTGGGTAGCTGGTTTTTAGAGGTAGGTGACAGGTTAGCTGAGGAGCACTAGTTATGAGATTGAAGGTTTCTAGCAGTAGCATAAGGCAGAGGCGCAGGTGAGATTTGCTTTGTCTTCCCTGTGTTAGAGACCTTTTCAGTCTCTTGATATGAGTTCCATTCCCGACTGCCAGACTACTAGGAAACAATGGGAGGAGCAAGATATCTGAGGAGACAGCTGAGCTGATTGTGTGTTAGGAATGTAAAATGCCAGTTTATCTTAGGTTTAACCCGTTAACTGATTAGGCAGGATATTGCTCCCCTACCCCTGTGCTTGGGGCTGCGGGTCATGGGCAAGGGGTTGCTTTTGTGTACCTAGTTACCTGTTCCCATCCCTAATGTGTGTAAGCCCTGATCCTGGAAGGTCTCTTTGCACACAGACCCTCATTTCCATATAAGGGTTTACATTATAAAAAGGGGGTTTAATATCTTTCCAAGATGTGATGTCATTGGAGAAAATACTAGATTGTCGTCTGTTTTCTGTGATTGTTCTCAAATATTTTTTTACTGCTTTTATGTCGAAAATGCCAAGTTGGGCATTTAAAAAATGGAATGGGTCCTGCCAGGAAAACCAAACTCTTGAGATGAAAAGCTTAAGAGTCGTCATTTAGCTAGTTAGGCATATAAAGAAATTATTTGTGGTTCAAGATCTACATAGGAAGATTACAGATAAAAATTATTTGTATTGTAGCTAAAGGTATAGCTCCATTTCATTTTGTGAATGTACATGCTACTTTATGAAACACTGACTAATAATTGATCTGTACCCTGAATCATATGTAACTGTAATTTGGAAAGAAAAATCTTGCAGACTTGATTCATATTAATTCACGATCTTGGCTTTCATTGGAAATGCATGAAGAAGTACTAATTAAGAACTTAAAACTGTTGTATGCATTTTTTGTTGTCATAACAGACTGTTTTTGTTTAGTTCATAACTAAATATTTTTTATTTCCAGTTCCCAATGTGGATCTGTCACCTCTCTGTTCATCAAGATTTCGCCCAGGACCTCCTGGGGAAGAGGCTCAAGCAGCTAGCCAGTTCATTGCAGATGTAATTGAAAAGTGAGAAGCACTGTAATATAGTTAAATTATAAACACAATTATGGGAAAGATTGTATTTCTCAATGATCTGTGTCATTTTGTTTTAGCTCAGAAATAATAATGAAAGAAGATCTGTGCATAGCAAATGGCAAGGTAAGAAAAGGTTTGGTATTAATGACAATGACTCAGAGTGAAGACGGATAAACACTTGTTAGTATGTTAAAAGAAAACCCTTGGTCTTTAGGCTCATATTATTGATTTTTGTTAATCTTGATACCTGCACACTCTTCTGGGTTACATCCAGAGTGTAAGGATGTTACGTGACCTGACTACTGAAATCAATATCCTTGGGTGTATCAACTGTATTTTTGAAAACATCATGCTGTTTGTGCACTTCCTAGAATGCTAAGTACATTCTTATATTGTAGTTTTTGATCCTAGAACTCATTTGCAAGAGAATGTCATTAAACCCAAGAGCTTAGACAGATCCGAAGAAGGAATGGGTGTTGACACGGGTATCCCAAAAGTCCAGAGATAAAATAGTTAATGCAGGAAACAAGTTTTGGAAGGATTTAAACTCGTCCCTTAATAGTAGAGATTAAGATGAGATTGTCACAAGGGGCAAGTTATCCTACATCTGCGCACTGTGAGATTTGTGTTCCTTCTTTGAAGCATCTGGTTCTGAGCTCTCTAGGAGACAAGATACCTGAGTGGACTGCTGGTCTCATCTAGTATGGCAATCCTGTGCTTGTAATCAGTTTGTATAAAACTGCTTTTCTATAGGAATTGACTGTTTTTTTAAGCACTGGATCTTGCATTTAGTAAAAGCTGTTAGGCCTGACAAGAGGGCACAGTGTGTTGACAGGACTGCCCCTGTTGATTTAGCGCAGGGTTGGTACACGCCAGCACATGGTCATCAGGATTCCTTGTTCAGTAAAACAGTTGTGGTTGAGGGACTCAAGTTCCCTGGCAGTGGTACGCAACCAAGCAGACCATACATAGCCTTGGGGCAGAGCACAGCAAACAGACAATAGCAGTGGAGGCTCAGTCTGTGGCCCATGAGCCAGTTAGCTGGAGCAAACAAAAGCAGTTAGTGCTATGACCCTCTGAGTAGGGCACAGCAAACCATCAGTCTAATGGCAAGTTTGGGGAGGAGTAAGGGAACCCAGGTCCACCCTCTCCATCAGGTTCCAATTTATGGAGCTATAAATTTCTTATTAAGGGTTCAAGCATTAGCTTGTAATACATTTGCCTCAATCACTTTCTGCCATAAGGTCCATCTTGGGCATTTTCTCAAGCTGCTGCGATTCAGCATTCTCATCAATCTCCACAGTCGGCTGATCATCCATGGTCCTGACAGACTGGAGAGTCAAAGGTCTTGCTGAAGCACATGACCTTCCTCTTCCTCAGTCAGCTCCGACTGACGTGGGCTGCCTCCTTAGAGATGTGAAAATACAGTTAAGTAACTGTTTAACAGCTGAAAATTTCAGCGGTTACGCACTGGAGGAGGGGAGCAGTTGGCTCCCCAGGAGCCGGTGGGCACGGGGAGCTGGCTTTTAAGCCAGCTCCTCTTGCATACCGGGAGCCTGTGTGTAACCGTGAAGGTTAACCAATAAGCTGATGAACACTGTCCCTTCCACATGGGCAGTGCTTAGCAGGGGGCAAGGAGACATTTCCTGTGCCCACAGTGATTGGTCAGCTCACTTGGCCCAATGTGGTTTTGATGCACCTTGTGAAGAGCCCTACCAAGATTCATGGCCGTGAGAAATGTATCACAGGGCGTGAAATTGGGTCTCCCTCTGTGAAATCTTGTCTTTTGTGTGCTTTTACTTTGTACTTTGCAGATTTTATGGATGAGACCAGTGTTTCTCAAACTGGGGGTCCTGACTCAAAACAGGTGGGGGAGGAGGAAGAAAGTCACAAGATTATTTTAGGGATTATGGTCTTGCCCTTACTTCTGTGCTGACTTCAAAGTTGGGTGGCCGAAGAGTGGCAGCTGATAACTGACGGCCCAGCTCTGCAGGCCGCAGCACAGAAGTAAAGGTGGCAATACCATACCATGCCATTGTTACTTCTTGTGTTGCTGCTGGCAGCAGCTTTGTCTTCAGAGCTGAGTTCCTGGGGAGCAGCCGCTGCTCTCCAGCTACCCAGCTCTGAAGGCAGGTTATCAGTGCAGAATTATGGGTGGCAGTACTGAAATTCCTCCCTCCCCTTACAATAACCTTGTAACTCCCCCTCCAAACAACTCCTGTTTGGGTCAGCACACCTACAGTTATAACACCATGACATTTTACATTTTAAAAGCTGAAATAATGAAAGATATATCATTTTAAAAATCCTGTGGCTGAAACTGACCAAAATGGACTGTAAATTTGGTAGGGCCATAACCTTGTTATATGGCCAAATTTAACAAAGCTGCAGGGAGGTGTAAAGAATGCCTCTCTGATGTGCCTGCCTGGCTTGCTGCACGCAAGGGTATATTTACCCTTTGGAATTTATTTTTACTTAAGCCATGTCTTCACTAAACAGAAGATTGACATTGCAACAGTTGATCTTCCGGAGTGCTCCCACCAATGGCTGTTACTTCTGCTACTGCAAGGAGTAAGGGAAGCCAAATGGAGTGTTTGCTCCCATCGGCCTCCTGCTGTGGGGATAGCAGGGAACCTCGAAACAAGGTATGTCGACTCCAGCTAATTAACATAGCTGGAGTTGCGTATCTGAATTCAACGTTCCCTGTAGTAGTAGTAGACTTGGCTTAAGATTTAAAGGTGTGTTGTCAGAAATTAGCTAGCGTTAACTAAAACTCCAGTGTAAACAACGCACTGTAGATATTTAAAATATGCTAAGCTGCTCAAGTTGAACCCCAACTTTCTGTTTTTCTTTGAAAACCTGAAGAATTTCCATGAACATTTTTTGGGAAAAAAACATAAGTTTTACATTTTTCAAAAATATTTTTTTGTTAAAAACACTTACAATTTTGCAACCAGTTTTAAACCTGAGTATCACTTTTCCTAAAGGGATGACTAAACCTTTTTGAATTTCAGGGTGTGTTTTGTTTTTTCTTTGATGAGGGTTTTTTTGGGTACAGAATAGAAGAGGTCCATGTTGCAGCTTTGATCCACCTATCTTCAGTTCAGATTTTTATATCAGTCATCACTCTATTGTCTTATTTTTAAAATTAAATTACAAATGCCTCTTGCCATGTTTAATTGCTACTCACGCTAGTCGACAACAAGCTTTATTTCAGACTGCAGATCCAGTACTCATGAAGGACTGACAGGCTGGATTTGTTTTGTATAGCTCCGTATAAAAAGTCCCCGTATTCTTTCTGCCCTATCAAATATTAATTGAATTTCTCAACTATAGATTTCTAGTGAGGGCAGAAGTCCTTTTCTTTGTTGGTAAAATACAGCACAGTGGCTGACTACAAATTGCTCTTTGGACATAAAATCACTCCTTTTAAAATTTGGCATTTTTATGAAGTGACCATAATGCATATATGTGTGTAATGTTCCTTGCTGCCCTCTAAATGCAATTGCTTCCTTAGCCACTTTTTAGCCATATCAATCCTAATAATCTGGAAATGTGAAAATATATTGACTGCTTTTCACCAGCAAAATTAGTATATTTTTTTAAATCTGTCTTCCTGGAGTAGATTATCTGGGTAGAGCCCCACAAATCTGTGCCTATCTACTTTATATCCATGGGTATCTACATTCACGGCTCATCTTTGCGAATATAGATGCAGATACAGTATTGGTACACACAGAAACAGGTGAGGTTTTTGATAAGTAGAGCCATCTAAATTGCAGTGCTGAGGGTATGGGGCAGGGAAGATAAAAGGCCACGTATTCATCATATTAAAGGATCAGAGGCTGATATTCTAACTTACTGTGTATTACCATTGGCCTGTAATTTGAATTAGTGCGGTACCAGCAGTTCAAAGGAGATACCAAATTTTACACATGTAAACTTTGTTTCTTAGCTTGCTTGGGTTCTATACTGTGATCTCATATGTTTGGACTATGATGGAAACATTTTGGACGCCTGCACATTTGCTTTGTTAGCAGCTTTAAAAAATGGTAAGTTTCCTATAACATACAATTGTTAAGCTGATTATATTCATGGAATAAATGTGGTGTTAGAAATCAGAATCATGGTGAACACTCTTGCTGATTTTAATTTCCCCAAACCAGAATATTTCTACAATTAAAACCACAATCTTTTTATTGGACTACTGAAGCTATAATACAAAGATGGCTCAGATGTGTATAAACGTTATTGAATAGGCTGTGGGCTACCTTATTTACATATGCTTCTTGCTTGTTGTATTAATCTATTATAGGACTGATAGCCATTCTACTGTACAGCTTAGTTTTTCAACTCAATGGTATTTGCCTTCAGCATACCAGAATTTGGACACTCCGCTATTGATCATAAGTAGAATTATAATATTCAGTACTCCTACTTCTAAATAAAGTATTACCTATTTGTGGTGTTTAGTCACTTAATCCATGTGATACAAACAGGAAAAATCTGTAGAATTAAAATGTTCTTATAACTGAAGAGATCACAAAGCAGGATCACAGAGTAGAGTGAAGTGATGTAGTCACTGGAAAAAGACACACTATTTTGTACAGCTACTGTACTTAGAATAAAGAATGTGCCATTCTGGTGTGTGTTTTATTTCCAGTTTTGTTTTGTTTACAATTGAAAGTTTTTACTTGACTGCCTTAAAACCAAATAATGGTCTCAAAAAGGGTAAGAGTGGCATCTATTATTTATACAGAAAACAGGTGCCCTACATTGTCTGATTCGGGGCCTGAAGTCAAGAGGAATTGACATTGTTCTGCCCCTAGAGATTGCTGTTAACAAAGACTAGTTCATAAAGAATCCCTTCAGAGATAAAGTCCAAATTATCTTCAACTAGTTTAAGATCGTACAATTGATTGGCTTCTTTTTTTTCCAGTACAGTTGCCAACGGTTACTATAAATGAAGAAACTGGTTTGGCAGAAGTTAATTTAAAACAGACAAACCCTTTGAATATCAGAAAGCATCCAGTTGCCACATCATTTGCTGTATTTGACGAGTAAGTTGGTAACTGATAAAATGTATACTTAAAATTGTTTAGTGACTAATGGGGTCAACTCATTGGCACAGCATCTCCTGCTTGTTAGTCAGTTTATGGAGCGAATCAGCTTCTGGACGGTGTCCGGTCCATCTTTGCCCCTGCTCTCTGGTTCTGGATCCATGTCATCCCCTGGACTGTGGCGTCCTCTTCAGGATGCTGCCCTTTGGTAATATCTGCAACTCCATTCTTGGCCCCTTCTGGGAGTATCAGCAGTCCTCAGTCTCATCTGCCACTGTGGCCAACTGCAATTCCAGTCTAGCCTCTTGTCTCAGGAGCAAGCCACGTCCTTTAAAAGGCCAGGCTGTGCATTGGCTAAGTGATGTGCAAGGGGGAAGGAGGGAGAGACCTAAGCCTGTCCTCTACTCTGGGTCCTGGCCTTCTCAGCCCTTGCATCAAAGCCCTTAGCTTGGGAGGTATTAGGCAGGAGCTTCTCTCCAGCTCCGTGGAGTCCGCTCTGTTCAAGGTGATGTGCCCTGCAAACCAGACCTTCCCCTTTATTGGTTAGGACACAACTGCCTATTGCTCTGCTGAGAACTTCTTTATAACAGGTCTGCCCCAACAAGCTGTCTTATTGGTTTCCTATAAACCTCTCTCTGATTGGAGGGGTATGAGCAGGCTCCCTCTGGCTTGCTTTGACCCTTCGCTTTCCACAGTGACAACTGCCCCACTACAGCAATATAATCCTGGTGAAAAAGAATTTCCAAGAAGTTTTTGTGGCAGATTCTTCATACAATTGTCAGTATACCTCAAGGACAAACCAGACCTCAGCTATTATAATCCAGGGGTGATTTTGAACTGTTACATAGTTTATATGAACAAATAAATCCCTACAACCAATGAAATGTACTTGAGAGGGTGTGGTTTCATGTTGTAGTATACTTTTCATCCTAAAGAGCTTTACTAACACAAAGAAATCACTACATCCACTGCTGAAACACATACCGGTGGCATACTAGATGACCATTTTTCAGTAGCTCATAGCGACAGTCCACAACAATTTCAGAATAGAAAGTAAAGAAGTTTATTCTGACAACCAATGAAATGTACTTGAGAGGGTGTGGTTTCATGTTGTAGTATACTTTTCATCCTAAAGAGCTTTACTAACACAAAGAAATCACTACATCCACTGCTGAAACACATACCGGTGGCATACTAGATGACCATTTTTCAGTAGCTCATAGCGACAGTCCACAACAATTTCAGAATAGAAAGTAAAGAAGTTTATTCTGGCCTTGACAAGATGGAAGGCAATTACTCAAAATTCAGACAGTTGTCCAAGTTAACACCCTTAGACCTAAAAGGATTGCACATTGCCAGGTTATTTTGAAATCTGAAAGACTTATTTGAAATCTTCCTTGTTTATTGGATTTTCACTAGAATCTTGTCAGTAGTAAAATGGAAGTGTGTAAACTTCTAAATATAAAAACTGCCAGATAAGAAAGGTTCTAAAACTAACTGCAGAGCAGAGTTGATAGCGTGCTGCATTTCTTTTCAATACTTACAGTAAATGGAAATGTATCTGTCCTCTTAAAAATATGTACATGCAGCTCCTTAATATCAGTAAAATGCAGGAATATAGGAGGAAGTTTGATAAGCAGAGCTCGATAAATCCATTTATCTACTCGCCTATGGCGACTAGATTTCAGCTGGTCGCCCCGTTCATCGGCGGTGTGGGGCTGGCGAATGGATTTTGCCGCGGTTTGTCAAGCCCTGTTGATAAGCATGGTGTACAAATATCTAATCAGTAAGAACTCTGGATGAAAAGCATTGTGTGCAAATTAGTAATAACCCTGGGGGGAGGGGAGGTGCGCGTGCCTTGATGGCACAAAAACATCCATCAGGAACTGGAAAAATGAATAATGAGAGAACCTCTTACCTTCCCTCCATTGGAATTCTCTCCGTTGTAGAACAAGCAGATGTTTATGCTGGTTAACCTCATTACTAACAACCCATGGGCGGTGGAAGAATATCCTGAGAGAGGCGGTTTATGTACCTCAGTTTGAGTTATTCTGTGCACTACTTTGTGAAAGTTCAGGCAACTGCCCTAATTTTATAATGCAAATATGAAATGTGTTACCAAATAGAATGCCCTACTTTTAAAAAATTAGTTGAAAGTAACATGTAGAATAAATACATTCTCTTGGCAGAGGGTACTATAGTTAGTAGATAAAATTTAATTATATTTACTTAAACATTTTTTTAAACAGTTTGGAATTGGGAAATCACACTATTCCCAATTATAATAATTTGCATGGTTATTTATAAACATTTTGCACATTCAAAAAAGTTGTACGGAGGCATGGATAAGGCTGTATGTAATGACCACGATTTTGAGAAGAAACTGAATGTTTAGTGGGTTTTAGTAAAAAGTTGAGGTCTTTGTCATCTTGTCCCATTGACGACCCTATGAATTGACTCCTTTCAATTGGGGTCTGTATCAGACCATTGGTAGAATAGATTTCTGAAGGACTAAACTATTTGATATTAAATAGTTCCAACAATTTTTACTGTGGAATAAAGGATATTTATCAGAATTTTGTCCATTTTCCCTTTAAGTATTACGATTTTTGCATTATTTACTCTGGAAAAAAATAACTTTTGGTCTTGAGATATCAATAGCTTTTATTGTAAGGGTTTTGGATTGTTTCCTTGTTCTGAACAATAGAGTAGATCAATGTATAAACCTTGATTCTCTTTCAAGGGATTCACTAAATATATATATATGCAAATAAGAAATGGTTTTGTAAGTACATCTACAGCAAACTAGCAATTAGAAATAAGTGTTTTCCCTTAGTTTAACAGTAAACCAATTTACAGAATGCAGTCCCCACATTAAAATATTTGTTTTATTATCTGAGAGGTTGTTTCCACTATGCTGGGGATTGATGTTGCGGTGATTGATCCACCAGACATTGAGCTGACACGATAAATCAATCTCTGAGTGCTCTCCCATTGATGTCGGTACTCCACTAGGACAAGAAGAGTAGCTCGCATCAATGGGAGAGCAGCTCCCGCTGACTATTTACGTAGCTGAAGTGACATAGGTCAATGGTGGGGGTTAGTGTAGACTAGGCCTCAGTGTTAGTAAATGTATTAGTGCTGCAAATTGCAGTTTCCATTTTGCAGCCTATCCCCATTAGGGCAGAAATTTTTAAAGCCTCTATTTCATTTCTGCGTATAAACCCACAAACACATTTGACTTCAACACTGAATTTTCAGTAAGGGTTTACCTTCTACATGTTCTTTAAATTAGAGCATCCTGATGACAGAACAGTGGACATTAGTACTCCTAGAAGCATCCAATTAATTCAGTGAAAAATACTTTATTATTAAAATCTTTTTGAAAGTTAGCCTAAATAACCTTGGGCAAATTCATTTTAGATGAACCTTTCCCGAGTTCATTGTTTTGCATGTGAAGCTCTAGTAACTTTTATACAATCATCATCCCTCTGGATTCTTTTCTTTTAAAAGCACAATACTCATTGTTGATCCAACTGCAGAAGAGGAGGACCTGGCAACTGGAACTGTAACTATTGTAATGGATGAAGAAGGCAGACTATGTTCAGTTAATAAGCCAGGTATTTTGCAAAATTACTACAAGTTAAAGAGGGAGAAAAAAATGCTCTCAAAACAAGTAACATTCACCTTTTGATGAACTATTTCTTGAATATTACCACAGCAGTCATCTTAAAAATAATCTACAGTACACGTTGGACCTCCCCAGACCAGCATCCTTAGCTGCCGCCTGGCCCTGCTTCTTGGGGCTCCTTGCCCAGCTGCTGCTGGCCCAGGCAGGAATCCTCAGCCCCCATGTTCTCCTGGCTTCTGGGGATCTTTGGTCCAGCAACATCCATGGCCCTGTCAGACCACAGATGTTGCTTGTCCACAGAGTCCCGGATTTGGAAGGTTCAACCTGTATTGTATTTTGCAAGAGTTGGTGCAAGAAATATCACTGTTCTTGCATAAATTGTAGCCATTTTTGTTGTACAGGATGGAGCTTGAATGTAGACCTTCCAATTGTGCTAGTAAGATTTGATATTTATAATCTAAAGCAGTGTTTCCCAATTGGTGCTCCATGGAACCCCAGGGTTCTGTGAAGCGAAAGTAAGGGTTCTGCAAGAACGCAAGATTGCCCTGTCCCCTCTTAAAGAGACAGTATTTTGCAGGTTTTTTGCTCGACCAGTTCTGGCGGGGCTTTTTTTGCTTGCCAAATTTTACCCTGGGAACTCTAGGGGTTCCTTGAAATTATTTTAAGCTGAAAAGGGTTCTGTGGCCAAATAAAATTGGGAAACACGGATCTAAAGTAAAAACAAATTTTCTTAAGGAGAATCACAAATGAGACCACCTTGCCTTAAACAGGGAAGTACTCCCCATGATTGAAAGGCTTTTAACATTTCCATTTGATAAACAAAATGGAAAATCAAGGTACTACTTGCAATTTTGTAGTTTTTAACATCTCTTTTTTAGGTGGAAGTGGCTTAACAGCAGCAAAACTTCAAGACTGTATAACCCGGGCAGTTACAAGACACAAAGAAGTCAAGCAGCTGATAGATAAAGTGATAAAAAGTGTAAAATAAATGTACAGCAATGTCTCTTCAAAATAGATTTGTAAAAATTGTATTTGTTACAGTGTTCACAAACCTTTTATACTAAATAAACAGTTATCGACCCTACATTTACAAAGTTCATTTTTTCTAAAATGTTTTATCACCTTTATATTATGTACAGTGCTGCTGAATGGTAAAAAATACAAGGTAAAACATCTTGTTAAAAATACGAAGTGACTTGCAAAAACCAAACCCTATCTTATTAGACGAAATTCCTATTTTTCATTAGGTTGGCTTCCTGATACAGTTTATACATATCAGTGTAACTTCAAAAATTCATTTTCCCATCAGCAATTTAAAACACTGATTTTTGAGCTCCCTTAAAAATTTTTAAAAATCACCTTTGCATTTATTTTTTTAAATATAAAAAAGGGCAAGACTCAGGACTTTGGAGGGGTCGGCGTGCCTCTCTTCCTTTTACTTTTTGACTGGCTGCCTGAATGTTGCTGGTGTTGTAGCTGAGCTGCTTGTGCTGCTGCTGCTGCTGCCATAGCCATTTGATGGTGCAAGAATCGCAACTGCTGCCATGGAGAAGAAGAAAAAGCTTGTTATATTAAATTTAAAGCTACTTTTTACCTCAGGATAGGAAAACAAGATGGGATAATTCAACTGAGAAAGCACTGGAATGGAATACCACGTACTGGGACAAGGAGTACAGTCAAGCAGCACCAGTGGCACAGAAGCCTGCTGAGAGCATTTTTAACGTTTCATAAATATTTCTTTGCCCTCTGTGTCTGTCGCAGTAACTGCAGTAACTCAGCAACTTCAGTAAACATTTTAGTTCAGGTGATATTCAGTATAATACTTAAATTGATAAGATTTCTCTATATAAGTCTCCTCCTCATCCATGCAATAAAAATATTGCCATAATGTACTTCCTAGATGGATAACATGACTAAAGAATGCTTTGCCAGAGCTTCTCTCTTATTTGCTTCAAAATCCTAATGGCACCTGGCTGAGCTTATTTAGTATCGCGCCACAAGCACTCCTTGAATGTTGTCATATCAGGAAAGTGGATGGCTTTTTAATGTATAAAAATAAATTCAGTGCTCCAAGTTGATAGAACAAGAGGTATCCAATCTCTCACTGTTTAGTTTGCCACTCTGCAGCATTTTAAAAATTCCATATGGTATTAGTCTAAAGGGTAGCATTTTTGTTGTTGGAGCTGAGAATTGTATTTTTTTAGTGCAATCAGAGCGAAGTTGCTGGATTACTTGTATCTGTTGCTGCTGCTGCTGCAAGGCTTGTTGTTGCTGCTGTAAGGCAGAGGAGAGCTGGAGTCTCTGCTGAGGAAGGCTTTGCCCACGTCTGTTCACGGCAGAGCCAAGCTGAGACAACACTACGAAAAGGAGAAGGGGAAAGCAGGCAGGTCAAAGAGGTTGGGTGGAGGTCATCAGGGGTAGGAAAGGAAGACATAGGAAGAGAGTGTAACAGAAAGGGGATCAGTAGAATTAGTCTCAGAGTACAATCAGAAACCACAGAATAAAGTATACACTGCATAGACACTGTTAGTTGGAACATGCAATTAGACTATGAAGTGCTTGTGGACACGAAACAAATTTCTCATAGTGGACTTTAAAGCACATTTTAAAGAAATACTCCTTAATGAAGTTTGGTTACAGAAGCTCTACAGTTTTGGTAGAAATTGTTCTATGTGATTTAAATTCTATTCAATTTATGGAACTACCACAAATAAGACAAGCAGAAAAATGCATGCTTTTAACTTGCAAATCAAATTAAGTGCAGCATCACATATTCCACACTCTGTCGTGAAAACTTGATATATGTTTTGTTTTAATAGAGTAAGGGAAAGGCTTCTATTAAACACCAAACTTCATTCCAGTATGAAATTTATCATTGTCATTACAAAAAAACAGATGGAAACATTGCAAACACATACTTGCTGCTTGAGGTTGCATAAAGCTCCCTACTCCAGTCAGGTTAATAACAGCGGCTTGCTGGGCAGATAAAGCTTGATCTTGATTTGTTGGACATTGTTCAGCGCACTGGCAAAAATGAGAAGCTTGATACTTATTGTGGAATTTCAGTGTCACTGAATACATACATTCAAAAGCTCTGCATGAATAGATATGAGTTCTGCTTTTTCCCCATTTTAAAAAATGGATTATATTTTTATAGTGTTAAATATTGCCAACTGAGTGACTATTTAGAGCAGCCATTATGTGCTTTATAATAGCTCTTCTATCATTTTGGATTCTATAACCTGTTTTACATAGATGGGGAATGTTTTCCAGGACTGAAGGAAAACAGAAGTCCCAGGGGATCTCTGGCTGTACCTTGGACAACTACGAGTAGTAACTATAGTTCAGATCCAATCAGGTGGTAGCTCATTTCCTCCTAATTCCCCAGGAATCTGTGTAGCACTTAATGGTGGTCCACAGGCAAGAATACTAATCACTGAGTCATATATAAACCCAAAACATCAGGAAAAAAGTGAAGTTTATTTGTATCTTCACATTGTGCCATCATTTCAGTTAATAAAACAAAACAAAAAAAAACCCAACAAAACCCCTGTTATATTCTGAAAGCAGCAAGGAAATCCTAAGCACTGGTTTACTGATCAAAGAACAAGGTAATTACAAACAACAGATGCAACAGTTGGATTCCAAGTGCCTTAAGAATACATCTACTACAGTGGTCTTCTCTTACACCACCACACACTCTAGCACATAACAGCTTAAAGACCCCTGCAAATGGAAATGACATTGTAGGAGAACTTTTCTGCAATGCGGGATTCCAGGAAACTGACTTTACCTGATAAGAGAGACAATTTGGGTGAGATAATATCTTTTATTGGACCAATTTCTGTTGGAGAGAGAGAAGCTTTTGAGCACATGAAGCTCTTCTCCAGGACTGGGAAAGATACCTCCAGCATCATGCAAAATGCAAGATAGAACAGATTGTTTAGCATATGTAGTTAGCACATATTCTAAGGACAGTTCAAGATGGAAGGTCCTGTTATCTTGTGAGCTTAGTGCCAGTCTATGTTCTATGTAGTATTTACATTTATCTTACTGATGATTCTTTCCCATTATTTGAAATAAAATTATTTTTAGACAAACTGAATTAGGTATCTTGGCTAAAGGCAGAGACTAATCAGTACACACAATCAGTACACACAAAAGGCTGCCGCTGGCCGCTCCAGGAAGACTAGAAAAGAGCTAGTAACTACACTGGTAAATAGAATTCAAAAGCAGAGCAGACTGTACTTTTCCGTTCCCAAATTTGCTACATTGTGGACACAGTCAGAAACAAATACCCTATCAGATACGATTTAAGGGAAGGGAACTTAGCATATGAGAATAGACTGAGGTTAGATGTTTCTACACAGAAATCCTCTATAAAGATTAATTCCTTTCAGTCATTTTACTTGCCAACTCAGCTTTCCATCCATTCACAATCATCCAAGATGACAATCTATAACTTAAGGGCCAAATGCAGCCCTACCTTTTACTAGTACAAAAATCTCAACTCAACTGAAGCTGCTAGGAGGTAGCCGAGCACTAATGGACAGGGCTAGAAAGAAACTTTGGTTAGTCTACAACCTTTTTGAGCACAAGATCACTTTTTGAATTTAAGTGCACTCCAAGATCTCTCTCAAATATAAATACCCTTACCCTACCTCCTTTCCGCCCCTTCTCCATGGGCCTGCCCCTGCTCACTACATCTTCCCTCTCTTGCCCATCCTCACTCACTTTCATCAGGCCGGGGCAGAGGGTTGGGGTGCAGGATCTGGTCTTTCAGGGATCTGGAGTGTGAGGGGGGCTCTGAGCTGCTCTGGGATGGTGTTTGGATGCAGTGGTGCTTGGGGCAAGGCGTGTAGGAGGGGTTTCATGACTGGGGTAGGAGTTTGGGATGTGGGCTCCATCTGGGCACTCCTGGTTGATGGTGCAGTGGGCTAAGGCAGGCTCACCCCTACCCTGGCCCTGGCCCACTCCTTAAAGCAGCCAGCAAACTCCATCCCAAGTCCTGTTGTGCCCCCTCTATGCTCTATGGAGAAAGGATACAGAGTGGGAGAGGGGGCACCTTGACATCAGCACCTCTCCTCTCCCTCCATTGCCCTGCATAGAAAGCAGAAAGCTCCCAGAGGAAGGGGGCAGCTCCAAGGCAAAGGGCAGGAGATGCACAGCAGTGGGGGGAGAGGCAGCTGAAGTGCTGAAACTTGATAGCCTCTTGGCCAAACTAGTCAGGATCACCTGTCAGAGGCGCCAAGATCTACCAGTAGATCCCCATCTACTGGTTAGTGACCACTGATCTACAGTAGTGAGTTGCATGAATACTCCTGTGAAGCATCTGGCACAAGTCACAGTGAGAATCAAAACAAATGACAAACTGGAGCGCTATTCTGATGCAGTATGACAGTTCCTATCCAATTGTTCTATGTATGGAGGGCAAGAACACCCTTCCCTCACATACTGACTGGCTTCTGTCCACATTAGTGTTGCATAATGCAAGGCCAGCTTATGTGCCCTGTCAAAACATCACCACTCCCCACCTTCTCTTTTCTGCAAGGGAATAGAGGAGGCAGGTCTCCAGCTGTAGCTATAACCTATTCTTTTCATGAGACTTCCTTTTCTCCTTAACCTGATTCAGACCTTTTGTGTAAATGCCCATTTACTACATTTTCTGGGGAAAGGGAGAGACACCATTTAATCCATGAATTGTAATTGCCACAGAAAACTACAATCTTCCAACTGATCCTGTAACCTTTTGAAGGACTCACAGACATATCTAGATCTTTACAGAGATCTTCCTCACAATTAACACCATGTGAGCCGTCTGTTTTAAATAACATTTTATTAGCCTTGTCTTCATGGAGGACTTAAATACATAAGAAATTATTTTTTTTTAAAAAAAAGCTTGATTTTAAGGTAAGTCATAGAAAAAGTTATGTTGACTTAAACTCAAATATGCAAAGTTTCCAATACTTTGTAACTAAAAGTCTGCTTACCCAATATGAATGTGAATGTTAAAAAAATAAAATGCTCTTCTGGTCTGAAATGAACAATTTTTAGGCCAAAGAGGAGGTATTTCTGACA